GTACTTTGTGAAATCAGCTGTTAAAAAAACAAGTACATGCAGCAATGTAGCATATTTAAAAATAAGATAATTGAGTCTATGCTATTATTACTATCAGTTTTTTAAAATCATCTTCTTATGATTAGTTTAGCAAAAAAGTAAATTTCAAACAAAGTAGAAGATTCTATAGTGTTGGAAACATACTTTCTTTTTTAGTAAGGATTATTTGTTAAAGCTTTATTTTTTTGTAGCTCTGATGTTTTTAACCACAATATAATACATGTTTTAAGTATGACCTTACAGGATTGTACAAGGCAAAATTGGGACACCCACAGAACAAAATCGAATAGAAAAGACCAGATACATAATCCTTTCAAAAATGTGTGTTGTGCATGCTTGTCAGTGGTAATTGTTTACCCTTCTCTATCTTCTCATGTTAGAATATTGCATGCATTATAACAGTATAAATACCAAAGTTTCCTTAATTACAACCATAGAAATTTTTGCCTTGCTAGAATTAAATCAGACAGGAAAGAGTGTTTTAAAAACTTAGAAAGGTTTAATAGCTCAATAAGCTGTATTTTAAACTTTGGAACTTGTTTCTTGGTACTAGTTCTTTATAAAGAGAATTTTTATGGTAGTTAAAAAATGAAAAGCAGTTTCGGGGTTAAAGATTTGCTTCCATACATTATACTAAGACATTAATTTATTTTGTTTTATGATTTGTGTGGCCTTCTGAAAGAAGAGAGGTGAAAAAAAATCCAAGGTGCATAAGTAGACACTATATGTTTCTGATAATATACATATGTAATTCTGATAATATACATATGTAAATGTTAGATTCTATTTATTCTTATCATTCAAACAAATAAAAAATGCTTATTAAAGCACAAATTGTAAAGGAAAGAAAATCCAACAAAAGCAACTTGAATTGTAAACTTCAATTTCAAAGAGGTTATTTTCTCAAAGTATATATTATAACTATTAATGTGGTTTGAAAGTGTACTTTTAATTCATAATTTATTTCAATTATTTTGGGGGTTCTAGAAGATCTGAAGTCCTTTTTTTTTAATTTAAGCTTTATAATCTTTATGTTACAATTACTTTTTTTTGTTCTTATAGATTATGGTTATTTACATACACGGTCCAGGCAAACAATTTTATACCACTTTCTTTTGGAAAAATTAAAACTATAATCTTTTATGAAGAAATGTTTTAATGAATATGCAAATATATTAAATAACTTGTGGAATTTTAAGAACTTTTAATGAATTGAAATGGTTCCTAGGATTAAATTAAGCTGTCTTCTCTTCTTTCTAAACAGGAAGGATACGGAGTAATAGTTCTGAATCCCAATGAAAACTATATTGAAGTAGAAAAGCCGAAGGTACATGTACAGTCATCTTCTGATAGTACAGATGAACCAGCAGAAAAACGGGAAAGAAAAGATAAAGTCTCTAAAGAAACAAAGAAGCGACGTGATTTCTATGAGAAGTATCGTAACCCTCAAAGAGAAAAAGAAATGATGCAGTTGCATATCAGAGTAAGTAAAAAATAAGATCATTACTTTTCTTCATTATCTTCTTTTTATTTTATTTCATATAAATTATTTTGTTTATCTTTTGAAAGAAGCTGTTAATTCCTTAATTTTTAACCATTTATTTTCCATGGGTGCTAATTGAATGACATGTATTCTGCTTTTTAATTCAAAATTACAAACACATCATTCTTATATCAATGTGATATTTTATATAAGTCTCAAAAGCAGTTAACAGTGCACTGTACAAAAAACATCAGTCTTCATCTCGAGTGGTGATAGTTGTAAATGCATTGTTTTCCCACAAGCAACCATCCATCCACGCTGTCTCAGCCTAACTTCTGTAGGCAGATGGAGGGAGGAAGAGTAATTAATATCTTAATAAATATTTAAGCTAGGATAGTTTGGGGACAGTGTAATGAGGGAACTCTGTCCTTTGCTCTTTTCTTGCCCAGTGAACCTTTGCACTTTGTAATGCTAGCAGCATGAAATCGTTACAGCAGTGCTGCCCAAGGAGTTCTAATTCTGCAGGGGGCACAAACAATTTTATTTGCACTTTGACACATCCTGCTTGATATATACTGTGCATTACATATATGAGACAGACTCATGCAGTTTTCAAAGCTCTTATTATGGATTCTAGAAATATGATTTAATAATAAAGCATGTCAAAAATGCTACAGGGTATGTAAAATGGTAAATTGATATATTCTTCAAAAGTGAGTAATTCAGAACATTTAAACATAGGTAATTAACGTTTTATAAATTATACTGTAAGATAGTAGTAGACTTTGGGATTATTCAGCTTGAGCTCTTTTTACATCTACTGTAGAAGCTCATTAATAAAATATTTCATGTCACCTTTGATGGGAAATACATGGCTTTCAAAGTTATTTTCTTTAATATACTTCTAGTTCAAGGCATAATCACTATACTTTTGGAACTATACTCCAAATATTCAAGACATTTAATTCTAGGTCAGTCTGTTGAGTAAGTTGTGACACATAAGCAGCCGTGAAAGCCACACATCAATTCACAAGGCCACAAACATGTCTTCTTGACCAAGAACACCCAGAGCACATCAAACAATGAACCATGTAAAAGTTTCGCAGACTATAGTATTTAAATTTCTGAAAAGCATCTTATTAATATATTATTTTGGGGGGGAAAGCAATTAGACTTGGAATCGGTGAGTAAGCTTGCTTGTTCTAATGCAATTATGTCACTGCCTTTCTTCCCTATGACTGCATCAGGGTCATTACGTCTCCTTTTCTGTCGGCTGTCCTCAGCTTTCAATGATATGATCCAGCCTATCAACCACCAACTTAAGACAGACTTTTTAAAAAACTATCTCTGATATCCAAACCCCAAACACGAATCATATAACGGTTTTGAAATATACAAATCATTAAGAGACTTCCCTTGCCTAAGTGAAATGCACACAGTGATTTTGTGTATTGGTTTTATTTCTCCTTAAATAGTTTCCTTTATTTGCCTGTGCTATGTACAGAGTAAGCATCTAGGTCTGACATCTGTCTTGTAGGTTTTATCTCCTCTTTTCTATTTTGTCTTTATCTTGTCACCATTGCTTTGATTTTTCCTTTTGTTCTCTTGTCTGTGTGCATTTTCTTTATTCTATTTTTCACATCTGTTTAGTTTATCCCTGCATCAGATTTTTTTCTTACACCAAGAGAAAAAAATCTTTTTATGTTGCTTCATTGTTAAGATCTGCTCTCTCTCCCTTTGTCATTTTCTTTAATTCTTTTATCTCTTTCACAGTGCTGCCATTTTTCCTTCTTTCCTTATCATGTCTTTTGGCCCCTCTCTTTTTCCATTGCACTTAACAGTCTAGGTTCCCATCAAAAGGGCTAGCAGACAATAACAGCCTGAGTTATGAAATGTTATTTTTCTTAATAAACACCTTTCTCTTAAAATCTTCCAGAATTGTGCAAACCAGCAGCATTAGGCTGATAGCCTTCAAACACACTTCTGTATAGTAAGGCAGGGCCCCATGGTACGAAGGAGAAGAGGCCCCGTTTTGTGTACGGGCTTTAATTCTTGGGCAGTTTTGACCCTCTCAAGAAGTGGATTCTTCTAGTACTTTCCTTCTCTCTACATATGTCTGAATATAATGGGCTTGTCACCTTCACACACAAAGCACGGCATGTGATGGCGATAAGTTAACTTTTATTTATATACCTCCTAAACATTTGTATTTTGAAATTTATCGTATATTGTTTGAAACAACCCTGTGGGGCAGGTGGGGCAGGACATTTTACCCGTATTTTATAGTTAGGGAAACCGGTGCACAGATGGCCCGTTTTGTCTAGGATCGCACGACTAATAAGTGGGAGAACTAAGTCTGAAACCAGGACTTCTGGTCACTGTACATTCGTGCCCTCTTTCTTCTTTACTGCCTTGTTCTAACTGTTTAAAAATAATGTGTATCTGAAATATGAAAACTAAACCAATTAGAATAAAATCATGATATGATAGAGTGAACCACATGTGATTGTTATATAGATTTTTAACCAGTTGTCATTTAATAGATACTATTAAATGTCTATAATCAACTTATCTATAACATCTATTTATAATATATAAATTAATAATAAATATATATTAAGGTATATGTTATTCTCTTTCAATAGGGTCACTAATATTGATCTAATTTTACAGATGAGTAGAATGTGGCTCAAAACCTATCTTCATGAGATCAAGCACTTAGTCTGCTTTGCTAACTGCCTCACCCTTAGAGCCTAGAACAGAGCCTTCATAATGAATATTTGCAGAGCAGAACCTCCACAATAAATTTTTACTTAATAATGTGTTGGAGCCAGTATTAAAATCCCAAACCACTCCAGCTTTTTAAAATATATCCTGCAGTATTAAAGTCTGCTACTTGATTTTCTGTGAGGAAACATTCAAACAAACCAAAACAAACAATAAAAAAATTACATTCTTGCTCCCCTACCCAATCTAGTGGCTGAGAGGACATTCTAAAAGTGAATGATAAAAAGTATGCCAAGATATATTTGATACTTTGATTGATCTACACATTTTCATCTGAATATATAAGAGTCAGATATTCTGTTTTCATTTTCAGCTGTATCATCTTGGTGCTAAAATTATGGATGAAAATGTAAATACTTTATTCTGACCTCCTGCTGTTTCTGTTTCATACACTTGCCGATAAGAATACTGGCGGACTGCTCTTGCTGCGCCCTGTACACACTGTGCCTTCTGGGATCTGTAACGTTGGTTCTTGTTCTTTCCCTTAATCCAGATTGTGTCCATCTTGTAGTATCCAGCTGATAGCACACGTTTTCCTCTCACCATAACAGTGACCTCTCCTTACTCTGATTGTTGGAAGTTATTATGATTAGTTAATTTATATGGAATTTATCATAGGCTATCTTGAAACACTGCTTCTATCTTTGTCTCATAATATTATTAATATTACCAATTTATCTTTCATGACCTTCCACCAGATCTCCCCAGAATCCTCTAGATCTTTGAGCATGCTTTATAGATTTTGGAACTGCATGTCAATCCTTATGAATAAGTGGATATAAGCCACTTTTTGCAGTAGTACAGAGCATACTGTGAGGAAGTGAGGAACAGACACTAAACCTGCACACTTAGAATCCAATCCCCTGGAAGGAGACCAAAGCACAAAAACTAGGCCTAGGCCTCAGTCTAGAGATACCTAGATAATGTGACCTGCAGCATCGGAACTAGGGTTATTCTGGTATCAAACTGGACAAGTACTCCAAATAAGAAAGAAGATCAATTAAAAGAATTTTATAGTTCTTTGTGTTCCACATGGGTGGATCTACACAGAAGTGATTTGAGGCCAGTCGATGAAATCCTGGGTTGAAACTGCTTGAATCTCTCTTCCCTAAGAGACTTAGTTGTGGGCTATGGTAATAGGAAGTAAGGAAGATTAGACCCAGAACATTTTTTTTAAATGCTAGAAGTGGAGGAGGGGGAAGAAATTATATGGCCACACAAGGAAAAATTCAAATGTGGAGGAGACATTTATGGAATAGGAATCTTGGCAGTGCCTGGAGTTACACATTGAAGATACTCAAATATTTATGGAGTGACTGCTTGTTGACACCCATCATAAAAATCTTATTCCTTAACATGCAGGATATGTGGTGTCTAGTTTTCTGAGTAATTTTTTCAGCATTCATGTGAATTTTTGCAATTGTTCAGAAACAGCCAACTCTGATAAACTGAAGCTTTCTTTTTAAAAAAATGTTTTTGATGTTCTGACTTGGGTTATGTCCAAAATATTGGTGAAGGCTGATAAATATCCTGTCTTCTCTGTGCCTCTTTTCTATGCTAATGCCACTGAAGTCATTTCTCTCTTGTGTTTTAGCAATGAAATTCAACTAATTTGTGTTATAATCAGTGATTGTTTAATCTCTGGAACCATTTATTTTCCTAGTATATACAAATATTTGAATTTTCTTTTTCTCTGGAACCTAGTAAATAGCCAAAATCTGCTTTCAAATTTTTACAAATATCTAGCATGCACAGGAAGAAATAAAGTAGAATCCAGATCGAAAACTTTAAGATTAGCATAGTATAATTTTGCCTAACTTACTAAATGAGTATAAATAGATATGACTATTGGATTATTTAGCATGTTTGTAATGTATTAGGAGCAGAGCTTGAGAGATCAAAAAGTACCTACTGTTTCATGTGGCAACTTTCCTTAAATATGAAATAATGTACGTTCTGGCATATATTATGGCTTATTAAGGCGATTGATTTGGTCTAAGCAATAAACATCATGTCAAACATGCCTGGCAGGAAAACCTGCTTAATATGTTTTGTAATAAGACAGAATTTTTTGTTCTTGAAAACATCTGCCAACTGAATTCAAGAGTGAAGACAGAAAATGTCATCAATTTAGTGGTAATCCTATAAATTTAGTTTCTTTTTGAGCAATACATATCAAGATACACAAAATTTCCAGTGTTAATCACCACTGA